GCAGTGGCCAGCTGGACCCAGGCCTCTCACCCTCTGTGAGGACAGCGGCCTGTGAGCCGTTAGCAGGTGGCCCTCGAGGTGTCTGAATAGACCTGGCTCCTCATTTCCCACCCAGTTACCACCTGCGGCTGGTGAGGGTGAGATGGCACAGGAGGACCAGCAGGTGGCGCCGTTGCACAGGAATGATGACCGGCTGGACCGCAGTGGACTCGGGCCCATCTGCCTCCCCTGCATAACTAGGTGCAGATCAGCCTCCCTCGCTGCCATGGTGAAGCCATTGAGACATCACAGAACCGTTTACTTAGGACGCTGGGTTTCTCCAGACTTTTCTCTGCAGTGTTGATTCTTTTTTTTTTTAAACATATTTTATTGATTTTCCACAGAGAGGAAGGGAGAGGGATAGAGAGTTAGAAACATCGGTGAGAAGAAACGTCGATCAGCTGCCTCCTGCACACTCCCTACTGGGGATGTGCCCGCAACCCAGGTACATGCCCTTGACTGGAATTGAACCTGGGACCCCTGAGTCCGCAGGCCGGCGCTCTATCCACTGAGCCACACCGGCTAGGGCTGCAGTGTTGATTCTTTACCCATTTTTGGATGGTGGGGCTTTGGCAGGCACCCCAACCACCTACCCACCTACCCCGCCTACCCACACGGGGAGGCTCACAGCCTGCTGGCCCTGTTGGCTGTTTGAGAGTCTGTGTCCACAGACTCTGGCCGCCGCTCCCTCCCAAACCGCACGAGGTCCACCAGGAGGGGGCAGCAGAGGACACGCCGCCAGGACCTTCACCTGCTGCTGTGGGGGCCAGGCCTCTGTGTCCTGAGGCCTCAGGATGCGGAAGAAAATGCCAATTCCATGCGGGGCCCAGACTGTAAGGGAGGTGCTCCTGTTTGCCATCCTTGCCTCTCCCTCCAAGGTCTCCTCACCCTCTTGTCTCCCCTCTTCCTCTCCAATGCCAATTCCATGCGGGGCCCAGACTGTAAGGGAGGCACCCTGTTTGCCAGCCTTGCCTCTCCCTCCAAGGTCTCCTCACCCTCTTCTCTCTCCCCTCCCCCTCCCTCTCCCCTCTCCCTGTCCCTTTCAACTCCCCCTCTCCCTTTCCTTCTCCCTCTCCCCCTCTCCCTCTCCATCTTCCTCTCCCCTCCCTCTCCCCACTTTCTCCCCCTCTCCCCTCCCCCTTTCACTCCTTCACCCTCTCCCAGGGCACCTGCATCTGTCAGCGCTGCCTGGATACTTAACCTCCCAGGGACCGTGGGTGATGGTACAGCATCCACCAAGAAAGCCACTCCTCTGGCCGCTGGCTGGTCCCGGATTGCGACCTGTGTCTTCTCCAGGGAAAGCAGGCCAAGAGGGGGTGACCAGTCTCAGTGGGGGCAGGCCACGACCAGAATGGGGTGTCCCGGAGGCAGCTCCCTGCAACCCCCCGGATCTAAGGGTCACATGTCTGACTGTCTTGAGGAGCTGCCGGATTCTCTTCCACAGCAACGGAGCCATCCCACACCCACCGCAATGGGCAGGCACCGCTCTCTCCAGCCGCACTCAAAACCGCCTCTTCTATTAGTATTACCAGAGGCCCAGTGCATGGATTCGTGCACCGGTGGGGTCCCTCGGCCTGGACTGCGCCCTCTCACAATCCGGGAGCCCGCCCCGGCCGGGGAAGGACCGCGGGAGGGCTCCAGGGCGTGTCCGGCTTGTCTCCCCCAGTCCCAATCGGCCGGACCCCAGCAGCAAACTAACTTACTGATCGAAGCATCTGCCCCCTGGTGGTTTAGTGCACATCATAGCTACTGGTCAAACCGTTGAACCGTCAGACACTTAGCATATTAGGCATACATATATGTGTATATATATATATATATATGATTATTATTATTTGACTGTCTTGAGGAGCTGCCGGATTCTCTTCCACAGCAACGGAGCCATCCCACACCCACCGCAATGGGCAGGCATTGCTCTCTCCAGCCGCACTCAAAACCGCCTCTTCTATTAGTATTACCAGAGGCCCAGTGCATGGATTCGTGCACCGGTGGGGTCCCTCGGCCTGGCCTGTGCCCTCTCACAGTCTGGGACCCCACCCCGGCCGGGGAAGGACCGCGGGAGGGCTCCAGGGCGTGTCCGGCTTGTCTCCCCCAGTCCCAATCGGCCGGACCCCAGCAGCAAACTAACTTACTGATCGAAGCATCTGCCCCCTGGTGGTTTAGTGCACATCATAGCTACTGGTCAAACCGTTGAACCGTCAGACACTTAGCATATTAGGCATACATATATGTGTATATATATATATATGATTATTATTATTACCACCCTATGGTGCCTTATTAATAAAGACAAAATAATTGACTGGTATGTAACCATGTTAACTGCTCCTTGAGTGAGAGCAGCTATTTAAATAGTAATAACCTGTAATCAAGTGACTGGCCTTGTACCATGTCTTCAGCTGTGTTCCGACAGGGGCCCTGACCTGTCCCCTTGGCCCTGAACTTTGGATAAACTGATTGGGGTCCAAGAAGAAAGGGTCCGGAGAAAGACCAGACGTCCTCGTGCACTTGGGCCCACATCCTCCAAGAACTCAGTGTTTGAGCAGCACAGCTTCTGCTGGGAGCGTGCAGGAGCGAGGGTTCCCCCGCGGGTGCCACCTGGCCAGGTGACGTGACAGCGTGTTCCTGTGGCAGCACAGTCCCCTCGCTCCCCTAATGGCGCCCTCGCTGGGGCTGAGAGGGCGGAAGCATCAGGTGCGGCCTCACTCCCGGCGGCTGTTGTCTGGGGAGAAGCCCATCCCGGGAGGGACATCGCAGCTGTGGGCCACCCCCTAACCCTTCAGCCAGGGAGGGGCCACTAGCCAGGGTCCCTGCCCCTCTCCCTGGCCCTGGCCCCCTGAGCAGCCCTCAGAGATGGACGGGAGGCGGGGGCTGGCCTGGAGGAGGAAGCACAGGTGAAATCTGCTGAGAAGAAAAGGCCCCGGGGAGGGGCTGGGTCTGTGGCAGGAAGACCCGGGGCAGCGGGGCCGCCCACCCCTGCACGCAGGTGCTAAGGGGACCGTGCATGGCCGCCTCCCGCAGTTAACCGAGGATCCGGCCTCTACAGCACCTGGCAGGTCTCTCTGAGTCAGGGCCCAGCCGGGACCCCAACGCCAAGTGCTCGGCAGAGGGACCCGGCGGGACCTTCCCGGGTCTGTAACCAGGGAACAGGCGGGACCTTCCCGGGTCTGTAACCAGGGACGGGCGGGGACCTTCCCGGGTCTGTAACCAGGGAACAGGCGGGACCTTCCCGGGTCTGTAACCAGGGAACAGGCGGGACCTTCCCGGGTCTGTAACCAGGGAACAGGCGGGACCTTCCCGGGTCTGTAACCAGGGAACAGGCGGGACCTTCCCGGGTCTGTAACCAGGGAACAGGCGGGACCTTCCCGGGTCTGTAACCAGGGAACAGGCGGGACCTTCCCGGGTCTGTAACCAGGGAACAGGCGGGACCTTCCCGGGTCTGTAACCAGGGAACAGGCGGGACCTTCCCGGGTCTGTAACCAGGGAACAGGCGGGACCTTCCCGGGTCTGTAACCAGGGAACAGGCGGGACCTTCCCGGGTCTGTAACCAGGGAACAGGCGGGACCTTCCCGGGTCTGTAACCAGGGAACAGGCGGGACCTTCCCGGGTCTGTAACCAGGGAACAGGCGGGACCTTCCCGGGTCTGTAACCAGGGAACAGGCGGGACCTTCCCGGGTCTGTAACCAGGGAACAGGGGGGCCCTTCCCTGGTCTGTAACCAGGGAACAGGCGGGACCTTCCCGGGTCTGTAACCAGGGAACAGGCGGGATCTTCCCGGGGCTGTAACCAGGGAACAGGCGGGATCTTCCCGGGGCTGTAACCAGGGAACAGGCGGGATCTTCCCGGGGCTGTAACCAGGGAACAGGCGGGATCTTCCCGGGGCTGTAACCAGGGAACAGGCGGGATCTTCCCGGGGCTGTAACCAGGGAACAGGCGGGATCTTCCCGGGGCTGTAACCAGGGAACAGGCGGGATCTTCCCGGGGCTGTAACCAGGGAACAGGCGGGATCTTCCCGGGGCTGTAACCAGGGAACAGGCGGGATCTTCCCGGGGCTGTAACCAGGGAACAGGCGGGATCTTCCCGGGGCTGTAACCAGGGAACAGGCGGGATCTTCCCGGGGCTGTAACCAGGGAACAGGCGGGATCTTCCCGGGGCTGTAACCAGGGAACAGGCGGGATCTTCCCGGGGCTGTAACCAGGGAACAGGCGGGATCTTCCCGGGGCTGTAACCAGGGAACAGGCGGGATCTTCCCGGGGCTGTAACCAGGGAACAGGCGGGATCTTCCCGGGGCTGTAACC